CAATTTCAGCAAGTGATTAATAGATCTAGTGCAGCAAAAACGAATTGGATCAATCAAAACAACCAATAACAAATCGATCCTAGAGAGAGACAAAACAAGCCGGTTTTATGTCTTAGCTATCTAGGGTTTTAGATTATCAATTTGCTCAAACTCAAAACACGAAATCTATCAAGGTGAATCCCTAAAGCATTCAACATAATTAACTTGATAAAAATAAGCAAGCAAAACGGATCAAAGCAAGCAAAGATTTCGAGTTCATCAATTAGGGTTTTAGGTTAACTTTTGTTCATGAATACAAGTTTGTATTCATGCACATAGTTAGGCTTTTAGGGGATCAATTATTGTTCTTTAAACTCACCAAAACATCATAGATTAAAGGGGGGTCGAAACTCATGTTTAAGAGTTTAAGTTTCATACCTCAAATCTCCTTGTTTTTGAATGGACCTCCATTAGGGCAAAACCGGTTTGGATCTCAGGAGAGAGAGAGATTGAATCACTTTAATCTTTTAGCTAAGGCTTTACACCTGCAAAAGAATAGTTAGCAAGGGATTTCTTCTTCAAAATAACTTAATAAATTAAGGAAGAAATAAGGTGAAAGTCGTTTGAGTAAGAGAGAAGTTTCTAGGGTTTCCCGGATTTGAAAAACAGAAATTTAGCCGCCGTCTGGTTTTGATGATTCCGGTTGATTCTGATGTCTGATTGACGCGCCGTTTGATCTGCTAGATTCCTCTCTTCCACAGCTTCAGTTTGGTATGTAGATCGTCGTCTGGGTACACAGGATTTGGGAGATACGTCGCTTTGAAATTGCTGCAGGGATTAGGGTTTCTGCAGCCGCCTAGAGAGAGAGGGAGAGCTACGGATTTTTAGCTTAGGGTTAGGGCTCGTGCTGATAACGTGTTAAAGAATAAAGAAGGTTGTAACTCTACTTGTATTATTAATCACGTGGTTACACATATATATATACATACAAGAGAATAAAGCATATTCCTTAGGAGATAAGGATTGCTACAAATAAAGGGGATGATTATCCTAATCCTATAATGATTAGGATAACTACAACATATGGATAAATACAAGGGACTGGACGTGTGGATNATCAACCAAATGATTTTAAGACCATTTAAAAAAAAATCGACCACATCAGGTTCTAGCAATCAAAGTCCATAGAGAATGATGCAAGCAACCTAGTACATTGGGTTCTATATGGTCATATGATCACTCAAACAAGCAAGGTTCACAGAACATTGTTATGCATAAGCATCCAAACAATCTATCTTATCATATGATCCGGTTTTAAAAAAAAAATTAGTTAGAACCCAAAATATCCAATTTCGTCCTAGCATTAGATTTCTTATACAAAGAACATAACCACATGATCAAGCAAGCATGGAAAAAATAAATAAAAACCAAGCATTGCTAGCATAAGAAATCGGATTCAAGGAATCATGTCTAGGGTTTTAACTGTTCAGATTTTAACAATACATGTTCATGCGGTCATAGAAGGTGCAAAACCCTAATATTATTCATTCATAACCTATGCTTAAGTACCACATATTCAAGGTTAATCAGGGTGATCACGCAAACATGGAAAAAATTAAAACCAAGTATGCATTCATAAGAAAATCGGATCACAAAGAAACAGGTTTTAGGGTTCCAATTGCACAACTTAATAATTCCTTTCAAGTTTGGTTCTAAAATAAATTTAGCAAACAACCACATAGTCTCAGGCATCATACAAACCATATGTGAACTAGCAAGACATGTTAAAAGATGGTCGGATTTATTTTAGTGCAAGTCCTAAGCCAAATAGGATTATGAATGCAAATCCTAAACCTAATAGGATTATGACCAAACTAGGGTTTTCAAAAATTTTAAAAATTCCGAATCATGCAACCAAGCAAGTACACATTACAAGCAATCAACAGGTTCATGAGATGACAAAATATCAGACCAAGATCATAAAGGAAACTATTTTAGTTTAGAGATCTAAGCAATTCGGGATTTTTAGGGTTCATGCGCATAAAATCAGGGTTTTGACAAATCAATCAATTCAACCATAGAACCAATGAACCAAGCACTCGATTTTAATTTTAAACACAACTAGATAGATCATATTATCATTCTAGAACCAGCCTAGGT